AAAGAGGCAATCTCCCCGATAGACCATTTCCACACCTCTTGGGACTTTACTAAAACCCGCAGGTTGGTTTCTTTTCTGGATTTTGTCTGAAGCTTTTGAGTCAAATTTGCCTCCAGTGAGACACCGACTGTGTAAGTGTTTCGTGATGACTTCAGCTCCCCAAAGGCCCTCATGTTTTGAGCCCACGACTGAAGTCTGCTCAAAGTGGCAGGTCATCTTCTGCCTGCCAACACCCTCTCTTGTATTGCCCACTTCTAGTCTTTGCCTGCCTTCGGCTTGATGTAGAGGTCCAGAGACGGAAAGAGAATAGTTCACAAGTATAACAGGGAAAGCAGTAAGACTTTCAGAACAGGATTGTCTTCCAACACTTTTTCTGTTACAAAGAGACTTAGATTACCTGTTTTCCCAAAAAGTTACAATCAGGACAATCATGACAATGGACAGCATGAATCCCAGGACGGAGAGTATAACCATGACCACGCTGCTATCTAAAGAAAAAGAACATCAGCTAACATGTAAATGTCTCACTTTTAAGCCACCGTAACTGTAACGTCTCTTCAGACAATAAATTAAGAATTAATGCCAAGCATTGCCCTTGCCTATCATCGGACTGGTGCAGTGGTGCATTTCTCCTGCCTCCCTGAAGGAGGAAAGAGGTAGGCTGCCAGAGCACCAGCACTTGGCTGAGCTCCAAGCGGGGCTCCCAGGTTGGATTAAAGCAGCTGGAAGTCTGCTATCACCTCCAGCACGTTGAAACCACCACTCGCTGTGTCCTTACAGCAGCACTGAAGTGACTTCAAACACACGTAATGCCGAAGTGCCCCTGGGGACTGAAGGGACCCCAAGGACCAGAAGGATTATTCATATTTTCAAGTGCAAGGGTGAGATTTTATCTCTTCCTGTACTTGTTATGGAAGTGCTGTGTTCGCGCACACCAATCCAGGGCCCTGAAATGGGTCATGTTTCACCGCTCTTTGTGCCTTACCTAAAACGCTCAGTGCAAGCTGGTCCTTCTCCCTGCACGCCAGCAGGCAGCAAGCAGGAGTGACTCAGCCTTCACCTCCCTCTGCACCCCCCTCATGCCCTTACAGCAGCACTTTATCTGATCTTACTGCCCTTGAGTGAGATTTAACTTCACGTGGAGACTCGGCCCCAGACCAGAGCGATACAGCCGTTTCTGGGTCATCTCCTCTGGGGTGCCCGGTGCCTGTGAGGGCTGACCCTCCTGTGGCCACAGGCTCTTCCCTCCCCCTGTTCTTGTCACTGCTGCCGCCAGGGCTGGCCAGGGAGCCGAGGACCCCTAGCTCTGCTTTCTTCCAGGTGGAACAAAGTGGTTTCTGCCCTTACAGCTTTCTGTGGAGTGCTCCTCCCTTGCGGTCCTGAAGCTCTTGGAGGTGCTCCATTCGCTCCAGATGCCCTTAAAATAATCTCCATTGGGCTGCGAACGCACTTTCGCCTCATATGATGCATCATTTTCAAGGTTTTTCCCCAGTAATTTTACCTGAAGGTATGGCGACTCTATTGTCTAAACACACAAAAATCCAATTATTTTTCTAAAAGACACAGGAAAAGTATCAGCAAAGTTTCAGCAAAATGTGCAAGATCAGGTGCATCCCTGCAGTACTGTGCTGTTTGCTCCGTGTCTTTGGTTATTATACAGGTGGTCATCACAGCATCAGTCTAGTTTAACAGCCAGGTAGTCCAGACAGTATCGAGAAGAGAGACTGATGCCAGGTAAAAGCTCTTTGGAAAACAGCTGGAAGTATTAACTGTGCTTTCTACTGCCAACACTGCAGTGGGAAATACATGCTTCCCTGAGAAGGCTCAGAAGAGAGAGGGGGAAAAAAATTTGTGCAGCATAAAAAGACAACTTCTGAAAGAGCAGCTCCAGGAAAGAAGCTGAAATCCCATAGTGCAGCTCTGATGCTCTTCATTTCAATGTATTTGGTTGCCTGAACCCTTTTCTTCTTCTCGTTACGGTTCTCCTGTGTTCCCTCTGTAAAATACAGGTATAGTCCATGCTTTCAAACACCCCCCATCTGGACCAGTGTTTGCACGGCTGCTCTTGTGACAGGGGACACAGAGGTCCCAGCAGCTGGGCAGCCCAAACCAGATCCAGTTCACAGGCAGCTGCAGCCCAGAACATGGTCTGAGGGTGGGAGAGCTGCAGGGCTGCACCCGAAGCCTGGAGAGGCTGAGAGAAAAAGGGACATGAAGAAACTGCTGCTAAATAAGAAAAGGAGTCTCGTGATTTAATGACTGATGAGCACAGAAAGTAACAGCAAAACCATAGCAAAGAGCAAGCCATCCACACACTTAGGATGGTTCGTTACATTATGTCTTCTCTTCCCACTGCAAAGCCCAAATGAGGGAAACTTCGTTAGCCCGGAGAAGTGTCTAACAGACATGGGTGCTGTTGGTCTGGAATTGTTTCAGCTGATGAAATTTCCAAATGCCAAATATTGCACCTTTCCAAGTTTTCAGATGGAGAACTGTATAAATGCAGATTTTAGGGGTTTTACATGGAACTGGTATTTCTGATAATGTTTAATTTCAGAAATTAGTGTAAGCTTACCAATACACCATCACTTACCTTCCAAGTATGTTCTTCCTGACGATAGGCTATTTGGTGTATTAATTTGTCCTTTAAGTATTTCTTCCATGAGTGTGGTGTACTATAATGAATAAGATATTCATTTGCCTCCTTTTGATATGTGATGTTTATATCGAATGGTACTTCAGGCTTAACTGCAAATGATAACAAACCAGGATGTAACAGGAGTAGAATAATGTTACTACAAAATAAACAGGGTTTGAAAAGTAAAAAAAAAGTCCACTTGAAGTTACACCCCTTGCAGGGTGACCTATCTTGAGCAAGGGCTGGCCTGAGCTGGGCAAGCCTCATGCTGAGCCCCAGCTCATCCTTACACCTTGGCCCTGAGAGGGGCTTGGTTTTGACCTGCTGGAGCAGCAGTATGTCCAGCAGGGACGGCACTTCCTAGGGATGTGACATTTAGTCTTGGAAAGCACTTCCTGAGCACGCCGACCCCTGCAGTAGCACTGCTTGAAGACCTGAAATTCAGTCGCTCTAACCAGTGCTCTGAGGTGGAGACCCCATGGCAAAACCCTTTGCTGCTCTCGGAGGAAGGCACTGGGGAGTAAACTGGGTAGGGGTACAACTGCCAGTGGCCATCAGGGCAGTGGGACAGAGGAAGGGACAAAGTATGACAGATATAGCAGAGGGGACTGTGGCTCCAGGCCCTTGATATGAACCCACACTTGACCTGGTCTGCAGGAGACTGTGTCAAATGACCATCCACACAAGTATATCAAGTCCAAAATGCAACCCTCAGGACTCTCCCCAAGCTGTGCCTGAGCTGGATGTGCCTGAGGTCTGCAGGGACCTGTGTCCGTGCCACTGAGACTTCCTGAATGCACCATGTGAAGCACACCTCTCTCCTCTCAGGAAAATGCATAGAGCCAGAAATTATGCCCACTCCTTCTGCAACCCCCAAATATTTAATCCTTCCATGCAGAACCCACAGTTTCTAAAGGAGAGACCACCAGAGATGGTCCAGGCTGGCCCATAAACTGAGAGGTAATGTAAGATTATTATGAAACTATTGGACTGGGGCAGAAATGTTTCATAAGAGAGGGATGTTGCAGTGCCTATTGCCAAATGAAGGCAAAGCAATGTGGCACCAGAGCAGAACAGAGCTGCCCTACACGGGCTTCTCTGCAGCCCTTGAATGAAACCAGAGCTGCAGAGAAGTTATCGCCAAGAGGGATAACTCCTAAGGAGCTCCTCTTCCCCTGAGTTCCCTATTTCTTGGCTTAGGCAGGTCCCCAACATAGCTTTGACGAGCCCATTCATGGGCTCTTGGTGTCCCTTCTGTGCTGCAGGATGCCTGAGCACCTCATTCAGGCAACAGGCTCCACCAAGAAGCAACGTGTGAAAAAGTGAGATCTTGTAACCTTGTGGTCCCTGTGCTACTAAGCTCACACTAGATTTGGGCTGGTCAGTCCTGAAACTGTGATCCCTAGTAAGAGATGAACAAAATGTCCCTGCTTGACAGTTCACCCACGCTCAGGAACAGCTGCTTCACCCATGTGCATGATTCGGTCTATGTCCAGGAGTAGGCAGAGTGTTACAATAAGCCAGAATTCAGCTGCACATTTTGAATGGAGGTTAATCATGTTTGGCTTTGAAGCAAGGGGAACACCACACTCTGCCAACACCCCAGTCCAGGCTGCATGCCCGGCTAAGACATTATTTTATGCTGCCTCTATGTCATCCAGATTGATGCTGAGGCTTTGCGCTGGGCTATTTTATTCCCCAGTAACCCCTATAACTTAAAAATGTCCAAAATGTTAAGTGTCTTACCAATGTCAGTTACAACCAGAGTCCTGCAGACCCGGGCTATTTTATTCCCCAGTAACCCCTATATCTTAAAAATGTCCAAAATGTCAAGTGTCTTACCAATGTCGGTTACAACCAGACTCCTGCAGACCTTTCTCTTCATCTCAGAGTCCATGCAAATGTCTTTATTTGAGAGTATATCAGTGAATTTTAAGAAATACGCATCTTCCTGTTTCTCCATGTTGAAGCACACATAATTGCTGTCTTCCTTGGTACTGTTGACCAAAGTGATACAACGTCAATTTCTTCTCAGTCTTACTATAACATAGTAAGGGACGAATCCTGGTTGCTCATTTCACATTAACTGAAGTGAGACTCCATGTGAAATAGGAAAAAAATGCCATGCAAATAAGGAATTTAAAAGATTGATAGTGTTTTTCCTCATAGTCTTAGAGCACAATAATCAAATGACATGTGTCACAGTAAAAGTCCTGGAGCTCTCCAAGAAAAAAATGCAGTTATTAAATTGAAGATGTATGTGTTAAAAACCTTTGTATCTTTAAAAATTATCTTACTGCTGCCATTTTTAAATATAGGGCAAATCCAAACCAATAGGTTTGGATGCTCACTGAAGATAAAGAAAAATTGCTTATTGACTGAAGTGGTAGTAAATACAGGGTCAACAGTCAGCCAGGCCATGAAGGAGTCATATGGCACAGTTTCAGAGATGGAAATACATCTGTGTGTTCCTCCATCTGTTTGACTTCTGTGTTTGAGGACTGCCAGAAAATTTCAGTCAAAATCCAGGATAAATCCCATGAAAATAGAATTCTAGTAAACTAGGTGGAAAAAAATTAAGTAGCAATTAGAATAGCAAGATAAAAAAAAAAAAAATCCACTTCTTTTTCTGGCTGCCACAGAACTTTCACTTTCAGGAAAAACAGGCAAAGGGAAAAGCAGAAGTATGCTAAAGAAACAAAATCTGAGCTTCTTCAGCTAGGTTCATCAGTTAAAAAAAAGGTGGAAAAGAGTTTCAAAAGGCCTCAATGAGAAGTGGAGATGACTGACGTGTTTGGTAACTGTTGGATTTTTGTATACTTATTCCACTGTGTTTTTTGCATGTCTGTGCATGCGAAGACAATTGCATAATTTTTGTCTTGACATAGTTCCCTACAGTGGAAAATCAGCCTTCTTGGAAAAGAATATTCTATGGAAAGGATCTGTCTCTTCAAAAATATTTTTACTTTTCACTTGATAAAGGCTAGGTTTGGCTTTTTTTATATGTCATTTAATTTAAAGGAAAAATGCTCTCAGTTCATGCTGAGCTGCATCCGTAATTACAGGTGTTCCAGAGCAGCAGAGGCAAGATCAGGACTCTTGGAGACATTATAATGCCCTTTACAGAACCTTCCAGCTGATTTTTGTTCTTATTAGGCAGTTATGTTCTGTTTCAGTAAACTCTTCTTCTTTGCTGAATATAGTATTCAAACTTGGTAAAACACTCTGAAACAGAATTTTGTCTAGCTTTGCTGCTCCTATTTCCCAGCATATGTCAACATGACTCACTGGTGCTTAGCATTTTGCTTCCCAGAAGTTTACCAAAGGACGGACTGACAGCACTTACCACAGGGCCAGAGTATAGTTAATGTTGTGAGGAGGCAGCTCGGTAAAATTGCAGGTCAGGCTGCTATAGGAATCCTTAAATTCCAGCTGGCTGAAGCAGTCGATGTCAAAATTGTCTGATTCGTCATCTCCAAAAGTCCCTAAGCAGAGATTCACAGGATGTTACTGAAGGAAACCCCTGAGTGTATCTGATTTGCAGCTCCATTGTATAGGAGGTTGTTTCTTTACGCATTGCCTGAAAGGAAGAAGATCAACCTACCTGTTTTGTAAGAAGCAAAGAAAGCTTGTTCAAAATGAAATTAAAATCCACTTGCACCTTCAAGGTGGCTCTCTCTGCATGCCAATGCAGCCTACCCACAAAGGTACATTCTGTATCATCGGTCTGTGAACTATAAAAAGACATAGCGTCGCAGATGGTTGGGTCAGATGAGACACCGTATGTCTGTTCTTTTCTATTAATCATAGGCAAAGAGGGTAGCTGATGTCGACCTGGAAACCTCTGTGAAAAAGCCCCAGTGTCAAGTGCAAAACAGAGAAAATACATCGTCTGCTCTGCAGTTTAATTCCTCCTAAGTTTGAGTCATGGGCAGGGGAATTCTCATTTTAAAAGTCACGGCTAAACTTTATACCAAGGTAAATGCAGGACCTACTCCATCTGAAAATCATCTCAGAACTTTCTCAAACAGGTTTTCCTACTAGGAACCACCAAATGCTGCTATTCTTGGGCATGCGAAGGGGAGCAAGACGTGTTCATGATGCCTGTTGAAAAGCAGAATATCCAAGTCAAGGACTAAAACACTCTTGAAAATAAACAGAACAGAAACGTGCACTGGGGGATATACTCCTCGCGGTTACTGACAGAGGTGTCTGGGGCTGATGCTCAGGGCTAACGTCTGCTCAAAAGCAAAGGCTAGTTTTAATGGGAGTTATTTGTATGGGAGTTTCAGCTCAGGACAGCCTGAAAGTACATCGAACACCTTGTAGCTCCGAAGCAGCAGACCTACAGGCGAGGATGCACGCTCGGCAGTTGCCATTGCTGCACCTGCATCAGGACCAGCCGCGTTGCAGACGGCCGAGAGCGCCCGAGCAGCATCTCCTGCCCCTGCTCTGCCCTGCCCATGCTGTGAAGGTCTGGCCTGTCACCAGGTTCCTGAGAAGACTGGAAAATGGTATGGGTGGTTTTAGGAAAGGAAGAGTATTTTGGTGTCACGAGGCAATTAAGCCCCAGTTTGATTGCACTGCAAAGTTTTCTGAAATGTCACCAATTTGGGCTCGGTAGGGGAAGCTCAGATTTGGGCGCAGTAGTGAAAGCTCAGACTTTCTGCTAGAATGCGTGGCTTCCTGCAAATTTGCTTCAATGATTAATAAAACAATTGCGATTTGACTAAGACCTTATGTCTCAAGTCCTACACTTGGCAGGTATGAGGTCAGTGAAGCAAAAACTGATGGTTCTGAGAGGAGTCCTCTCCAGCTGAAACCGCCAGTTCAGCTTCGTTTCATGAAATCTCACACACTGTAGCCGAGCGCACAGGGAAAGGGTTAT